GCTCCCCCTAGTTGAATAGATGTATGTACTCCTTAAAGTAAAAATAAATGCCAGGTTTCAAGGTATTATGCGTTTTTTCTGTAAGAGGGGGTCCTTCCAGGGTGCTCCTCTCCCTATCTCCCAGTCAGCATGTGAGTTAAACTAGATAATCAATCTCACTTTCTATCACTATTATTCCTATCAATAGCATAAGCTCACTCTGTATTGTTTCTGAGTTCTTTTATGTAGCTAGGCCTACGTCCTGGAAATGTGAACCAATGTCAATTGCAAGAGTCAATGCCAATTTTCTTGACCAGAAGTCCTAAATGCTGGCCACATGGCCTACCACTGTACCTTCACTTTGTCCATTTGTTCAGCAAATATTTATCATAAACCTTCTAATTTTCAGACTTTGGATTTAAGAATAAAGATATTAAAAGGATGTATTTCTTGGCCTTGAAATATAGTCTACTGATGGACACTAATAAGTGAATAAATAATTTTAATGTGTGACAAGTGGAGGCATTTTATATGTATATCATACTTGTTAAGAACATGCATTTTCAGGCCTGAGCTAGCCTTAAACATATTCTCACTTGCCAAATAGTATGGTATTTGTACCTACCTCAAGAGGTTTTTGTGAGGAATAAATGGTGTAAGGTATGCAAGGCCCTGTGCCTGGAATATAATAGGTGCTCAGTAAATGACAGTTATTATTATTATTATTATTATTATTATTACTAGCCATTAATGGCACTAAAATCATAGCAGTTATCTAGATTTCCTGGAGAAGGCACTCTTCCTTCAATGACTCACCACTTAAAATTCCTTCATTTGGTTTGATGTAACATTTAAATAAGTCAAGATCTAATCAGACCTTGGGATATGAGTTATGGGATTTAGTACAGGAATGGGACCTTGCACTGCTGTAGGTGGAGCTGGGGGAAGTGAAGGCCCAGGAAGGAATCTGGAGCGTCAGAGAAGGAAGCACCAATCCGAGGAGCCAAGCATGTCTAGCCACAAAGGCGGGACTACAGATTGAAGACTCCGGCTTCTGTGTCGCACCACCTTGGTGGGTCTACCACCAGGCTCTGGAGGTGGCCTGGGGCCGCTGCTTTTCCTAACGGTCACCAGTCAGGAAGGAGAGCTGGACGTGGGGTGGAGGAGAGCAAAGGCAAGCTGTGCCCCCTGGCACCGCTGCCTCTAACCTCCCAAGAGCAATCACTGCTGTTTTGCTTCCTCCTTCTTCCAATTGGGCTTTTGGCTCAATTTTAACTCAGAGGCACACAGGGCACTGCATTCTGAGAAAAATAGATCCAACCTAACTAAACTGACACAGTTAAAAAAACACTAGAGTCCATTTGCTGTCAACTTGGCATCTATACCTTTTAACCATATTTAACTTCCAGATAAAGACATGAGAAAATTATGCTTCTAGCTAACATGATACAAGTATCTCTCATATAATGGAAAACACACTCATACCCTCTCTCCAAGACAATATAGATTCAGTGTATTCACTTTTTAACGATGGTCATTCCTCTTATAGTTAAGTCACATTCAACCTTCTGCCATTCTGTAGCTTAAACATGGAGGTATAATAAGGTTAACTACTATTAACATATCTTAAGTTAGATTAAAGAAGATTTGGAGCGGGGAACAAAGAAAGAAAAAGGTTTCATATTTCATATTCCCTTCACCTTCAGCCAATGGCTGGTTGTGATTTCCCTCCTGGTGGTGACCCAAACCTTCATTTCTGAAGAGTCTATGCCAGGAGCATTCCTGACTGTCAGGTGGCTGTAAATTTTCACTATAGAACATGGGACAACAGGCACCATCAGGATCTCCTGTATTCCAGACCATCTCTCCCTCCATTGTGTGGTAGCAAACTTATTTCCTTTGACAGGCAGAATTAATCACATCCGTGAACACAGTAACCCTCCTTTGTCCGTAGGTTCACTGGCACAAATAGCCTTAGGAGACCACAGGCAATCTCCACTTTCAGCTTGATGGAAAGCCGTGTCCCTTGGTGGGAACGTTCCTTCCTAGGGAGAAGAAGATCTTTACATCAGCAGAGCCCAAAGTTGCAGCCTCTTAGAAGCAAAAATCTCACTACAAAGTCATCAGGGATGATAATGAGAGGAACTACTCCTCTCCCCATCCCTTGATTATTGAACGCGTGAATCATGGCTATGGAGAAACATTGACATGTATTGTTTGCTGTCTCAGAGTATATCACATTCTAGAGAATATTGCTCCAGCTCTGCGAAGTGTCGCAGTGCTGTGTGGCCTTCAAAAGACCATTTCGCTGTTTTATCAGGCCAGCTGTTTAGACCATTAAAACTGGGGGGTTTGCAGTGCATGAGCCCATTGCTACATTACAGTCACTGTAAACTTAGTTATATTGTCAGAATCAAAACTATGGAATACCATCATGGTAATAAAGGCATTCTGAAAGCCCACAGATGGTGGTTTTGGCAGGAGCAGTTCCACAGGGAAGGCAATTCCATATCCAAGGTAAGTGTCTACTCCAATGAGAGTAACACATGGTGAAGTGGTCTAATTTAATCAACCTCCCACCCACTTGGGGGCTCATTTGTTGTCTCTGCTGTCATAATTACTTTGTTCATAAGCCCCTTGGACAGCAATAGGGGTGGCAGGGAAAAGAGTATGACTCACATTCACAAAATGAGTTATCTTGTCTACCTGCTTATTAAATTCTTCCTCTTTTGGGACTGTTATTTGGTGAACATAAATATGGGACACAAATATCTTTACCTTCTGTGCTCATTCAAAATAGTGCTACCCATAATACCGCTTTCCCTGTACCTTCCTGTTTACCAGTCACCTGTCACCAGTTCTCTAATCCTGTTCTTTCTAAGTCCTGACACTTAGGCTCTGACTAAATGCGGAGACATGCTTCTGGGCATTCCTCCTCCCAGGCAAAATAAACAGCCCCGTGCACTCTGCCCCCAGGAGGCTTTCCTTCTGGCAGTCTTCCAGGAAACCCTGGAATGGGGCAATACCAGCAAAATTCTGTAGTTTTCATGTTATGAGTTCTCATCTCTTTTGTTA